TGATTATAGAAATTAATGAGAAGGTGAGATACAAGGGACTTGATAATCTAGAAACCATATTACCAGCTCTCAAGTCAGATAGCTATGTATTTAAAATGACAGTCTCTTTAGTTCCTAAGTCACATGTTTGTGTTTAATTACAGTTAAAGTTTAATTGGGCTTCTAAAAAGACATTTACAGAATCAGCAAAGTCTAATTTTCATAATGAAATAAGTTTTTGATACCACTCTACTTGGATAATTTTAGTGACCAAAACTGTGACTAAAACTACTTAAGCAAAACATTAATGTGTTTAGAATGGAATTCTTTACTGCTAATATTTGAAATTGAAATGAATACATTATACATTTCTTAGTAGTCTTTATTCCTAGAATCCATTTCTCTCAGCATCACCAAACTGAGTTGGTGAGATAGTCCTAGGATTTTATAAAATAAGAAGATTAGTTAATACAATATTTTGATTTCGTGGTGCCAGGAATTGGCTGACACAAGGACCAGCTGATCAGGGTTCTCACTATTCCTGTATTTTGAATAGTGGAGGCAGATCCAAAGCTGACTGGTCATATTTTACATCTAAATGTGTGCTGAAGAGGTCTTGTTCTACAATTCTTGATATTTAGAACTTTTTTTTAGCACATTCAAAAGTAAAGATTTGCATTGTAAACTGTATCTCAAATTTCAGAAATTTTTGTGTTGATGTAAATAAAAGTAAAAGGTGGTCCACAATAGTGCATTGTAATACTACAGACCAGTTCTACCGATATTATAAATAATCAGGTTTAAACAAAAGAAGAGAAGGAAAAGGTTGATTGCTGGAGTGTTAAATGAAATCTTTAAAAGCAACAAAGGGCAAGGAAAGAAAAGTCACCAGACACCTATGGATAGTCCTGAGCCAAGAAAGCCCTTTAAAGTAATAGTGAATTGTTTTAAAATTAAGTTATTAAGTGGCCTACTGATTACCATTTAAAAGCCTTTATCACTAAGTTTATTCAGCCTCCACTATTGGGAAATTATCCACATTCCTCCATAGCAAAGGGCCAGCAAAAAATAGGATTTCCTTACAGCCAACCTTGCTCTTCCCAAAGGGAGAAAGTAATACCTCATTAACCTGGAATTTGTGGTACAGTAGGTAGCCTAGGTTAATGTTTACTTTTCACTATGTAAAAAAGTAAAAACACTAAGCAAATAGTGCAAATAAAGTTTGATCTTTTAAAGCATTTTAGTAATAGCTATTTATATAAAAAGTTAGTGGTTATTTTTCCTAAATCCTCATAAGACCCTTTGTAGATAAAACTTTTATCAATTATAGCATATATATATATATATCAGATTAGTTATAGTTATGCTGCATTTAGTTAGAAGTACCTAAGTATAGGGTAATTCAGGGTTTATGTGTTTATTTGTATGTTAATTCATGAAACATGAGAGTTTCATGAACTGCAGTTGTGAAACGCTGCTATAGAGTGAATCCCTTCCCCTTTACCTTGTAACAATGTAGTAATTTTCTTTTTGGTTCAGAAATTTTTTGTCTATAGAAGTAATCTAATGATTCTACTGCCTAGCAAAGTAGTACATGAGTGCTTATATCATAAAATAGAGATAATAAAGTCTTTGCTTACTTTTCCATCTGAGCCACAGCATGCTGCAAACTGCATAATTATGGAAGATAAAGATGACTTAGGCCATGCCTAAGTGACAAACCTAAAATGTTTTGTAAGTGACTTAGTTAAGATACATAAAATATTGTCATAGAAAATAATGTATTCATAGTAAAATACCTAAATTGATAGGACCAAATTTTTCTGGCTTAAATACCTCTGCTTATTTAAGCAGATTACCAGCTTGACCTAAGTAACAGCTTGAATAGTCTTCTAAGAGTTTATCTTTGTAAAATAAATTGGTAGGTATATAAATATAGTACTTAACCTTACATACCATTTCCAGCTTCCTAGAAAGAAGGTATACTGTTTCATCTTTTACAAATATAAATAGGTCCAACCAGAAACAGTTTCTAGCCTTTGCTATGTATTATAGATGTATACCACAGTGTTCTTTCAACAAAATGTGGTTCTGTGTACTGTTGAAAAATCTGTGATCAAGGTGCAACTGTCTTTGGTAAACTTTTAATGAACCTACATTTTAACTGTTAGTGTTATCTTTTTAAAAAATCTTTTTTTTTTTTTTGAGACAGAGTCTCACTGTGTTGCCCCGGCTAGAGTGCCATG